GGGGGAGTTGTGACAGAGGAAAAATACTTTATTAAAGGAAATAGAGAAGGAAAAAGAGTCCATGAGCTATACCTTTGTACATGTAGAAGAATAGACGGATTAGTGTCAAAGTCTGCTCGCGTGCCTAAATCAGCTACCAAAAGATTATTCTAAAGTACTGACCTACATTTTTTCGTTCACCGTTTATGTATCCCTTCTTTGATTCATTCATTGACCGATTAATTCATTTATTTCCAAGTCCTTTTTTTCGTTCATATAGTAAATAAGACATCTTGAAATAAATAATTTATTGCTTTGATTTTTCAGTGGCCTTGTGGTCCACTCATAAAGTTTATTTATCTTACTGTTTGCTATTATTTTTGTATTTAGACCCAGCTTACTTATTTCTCTGATCAGAGTTAAAATCAGAAACTGAGGGGAACCTATAGGGATCTGGTCAAATTCAAAGTCGCTCAAACAATGTGTATGGCCTTCGTCGGTGAGCTAACCAAGAGAGAGGACACAATTGTTTGATTATTTTGATCATGGACTTTGCAGATAATTTTGCTTCACTTCCACAATCACCAACAGATGAAGAAGAAAACGAGACATCTGGTAGATATCCCGCAAATGATTGGTCGTAAACTACGCCAAATTAAAAACAAGATACTAAGGATCAACACCTTTTTCAACGATCAGAGCACCATCAGCGAAGCACCGCTAGAGAAAGCTGATTCCTTCACTTACTTGGGGAGCATCTTTGACAAGGACGGAGGAACAGACGCAGATGTCAAGATAAAAAGAGTCAAGACAAGAGGTGCTTTCACACACGTGAGAGAAGTCGAAACCATGATCTAATAGTAATAGAAACAAGGACCAAGATAAGGATCGTCAACACTATACTGCGGTCAAAAATGCATGGCGCAACTTATTGTCAAATATCTCCTTAACTATCTAACATAAGATTCTCCAACTTTTGCGCGACGACTTTTGTCAATTTGTCTTAACAGGTGAATATCTTTTCAAACTCCTGCACACTGTATTCTCGGAAATTCCTTAATAAACACTAATAAAAAATCCCAGTCGATGATTCCACAGATTTTTTTAAAGTTTACAGCTTGGGCAATATCCCTTTTAAAAGCAATTAAGTCTGTCGTTTTTTGTCTAATTGCGACATCCTGCTTATTGAATGCATGTTTAGGGAACCTTTGGCTTTAGTACAAAAAATGTGCTCACTATAAAGTTGATTTCTTGTGAGAAGTTTTGTCACTTAAAAGTATTATTGGCCAGCTGTGACGTACGCCATAGCCTCTTATGTGTATGCAAAATGTGTGGGAGAAACTGGAAGTGCTGTGAGCAATCCCATTGTAAGAAATTTATGAAGAATTTTTTTTAAATCGAGCCTCAGTTGTTGTAGAATAATGTGATTAGATCTAAGTTAAGACGAATGATACAAACTGATGTGCAAAGTATGGGTGAGGATAAGTTGCGCCATGAATTTTTGACCGCGCTAGAGTGTCAAAGTGTACTTCTCTATGAATCAGAAACGTGGACACTTAGATAGATTTTTACCTCCCCCC